CCCCCCCCCCCATCAACCCTCAGTTTATTCTCAGTTTTTAAGAGTCTCTTATGGTTTGGCTCCCTCCCTCTCTAACTATTTTTTCCCCTTTCCCTCCTCCATGGTCTCCTGTCTTTCTCAGGATCCACATAAGAGTGAAACATATGGTATCTGTCTTTCTCTGACTTATTTCACTCAGCATAACACTCTCCAGTTCCATCCACGTTGCTACAAAAGGCCAGATTTCATTCTTTCTCATTGCCGAGTAGCATTCCATTGTGTATATAAACCACATCTCCTTTATCCATTCATCAGTTGATGGACATTTAGGCTCTTTCCATAATTTGACTATTGTTGAAAGTGCTGCTGTAAACATCGGGGTCCATGTGCCCCTATGCATCAGCACTCCTGGATCCCTTGGGTAAATTCCTAGCAGTGCTGTTGCTGGGTCATAGGGTAGATCTACTTTTAATTTTTTGAAGAACCTCCACACTGTTTTCCAGAGCGGCTGCACCAGTTTGCATTCCCATGATTAGAGATCTTAATACAATTTTTGCCGCATAATCTCATTGATGTGAAATGCAGATATTTCATGCGCTGGGTTCAAGGCCCAGACTTAAACAGGGAACCTTGGTATGCATTATCGTGCAGTCATTGAATTTTTTTCTGTAGATGTTGTTTGTTGGTAGCCTTAACAATGATCCTTTTTAAAATGCATAGCTGTTTCACAATACAATTTGGCTTTCAATGAATTCACCCTCCAAATACTTATAAGGACATATCATATGTCAGACACTAGGGTGACAAAAAATGAATGGGAAGAGGTGCACATGAATGGCATCCGCAATTGTGAGTGAATGGCGTTATTGCACATGTACTTGTAGAAATAACAGTCCCACAAGGATTGCATATTATTCTTTAAACAGAAGCCAAGGGATAAATTGTATGTTGAGCAAATAATTCGAAAGGGAAGCATCACTGCTTCTCCTTTTGATTTTTCCATCTCCCCTTTATTCTTCTTTTATTTTTTGCGTGATATTGCAGTCTCTTTATTCCTTTTTCTTAAAGATTTTATTTTTAAGTAATCTTTACACCCAATATGGGCCTCGAATTTACAACCCGGAGATCCAGAATCACGTACTCTACCAACTGAGCCAGCCAGGTGCCCCATGAGAAGGTTCTTAGCGACACATTTTCTCTTGCTATCTGAAAGTAGAGCGTTCCTCTGAAAGCTTTTGGAAGTCGAAATGTCAAAAGCGAAGAAGCAATTGCCATTCATTTATACGGAAAATTTTGTGAGCATTTCCAGACTCCCCAAATCCCCTTTCTTAGGCTTTTCTGATACCTTAAGGCACATCTTGCTAATGGATGCACAAAATAAGCCAAGATAAAGCGCAGATGCTCACACAGTTCAGAGCTCTGGGGGCTTGATGTCGAAATGTCGAGTGTAGTTCCCCAGGAAGGAGCTGGGCGGCGCCACTCTCGCTACTGGGTGGGAGGGGAACTGCCTCTCTAATGGCTCCCTGCAACACCAACACTGAATGCTCTTTTTGATTTTTCAGAAAAATGAAAATCCTCTTCGGATTTCTTTCACTTAGTGAAAACAGGTACTAATGGAGGTCTTTCGTAGAAGCAAAGTGGCATAAAGTGAGCTTTGGAAAAGCAGGGGATACCTGTTTGATGTGCTGGGCAGTATATTGACTCTTATTTGAGTGTTAGGGACATTTAGAAACAAGGCTATTTTTTTTTTTTTTTAAGTAGGCTTCATGCCCAGCAGGCTTGAACTCATGCCCCTGAGATCAAGACCTGAGCTGAGATCAAGAGTCAGACGCTTAAGCAACTGAGCCACCCTGGTGCCCCAAAACAAAAGTATTTAAAGTCATAAAGTTTTGGGGTGCCTGGGTGACTCAGTCGGTTAAGCGTCCAGCTTCAGCTCAGGTCATGATCTCACACTCCGTGAGTTCGAGCCCCGCGTCAGACTCTGTGCTTAGCAGCTCAGAGCCCGGAGCCTGCTTCGGATTCTGTGTCTCCCTCTCTCTCTGCCCCTCCCCTGCTCATGCTCTGTCTCTCTCTGTCTCAAAAATAAATAAAAAACATTAAAAAAATAAAATCATAAAGTTTTAAATACTAATTATAATGAAAGGCAAATTTTTTCAACCTGCTACTGTTACATTCCTGAATAGCCATGAATCGGAAATTTACAACGGTAGTTTGGTATAAAAATTACTTTCTCTTCCTTCCCCCCTTCTTTCTTAGCTATAAGCATTCAGGTGAAGGCCGCCTAGCCTGTAATGGACCCCCTATGGAAATTCCTGAAGAACATACAGAGAAGTTTAATGTAACCTACACTTACTCTGTGCAATTTGAAGTAAGTATTCCACGCCATCATCTTACTTTTGTTCCAAATCAGGTACATAACTATCATATACTTCATTAATATTAAAGCCTTAATTTTGATCATCAGGGTTGTATAACCCAGCCAAAAGCCCGAGAAAGTAGGTAAGTTCTTTACATGCAAACTGTTCAGAGGACCATCCTTAAAGGAATGTCTGTATTAAATCTACCACATTTCAGGTACCGTGCCAGGTAATTTACTTTCTCCTACTTCCTCAGAGGTTTGAAGGAAGTACGTGGGAAACCGGAGAGGTGTTGCCTGGGCTTGGCAGGTTGCTCGAGTGGGACCTGAAAGGAAGAGTATGTTGTGGAAGAGACAGAGGATAGGATATGTAGTGAGAAGAGCATCCATGTTGGGCTCAGACCGACCTGTGGTTCAAATTGAGGCTTGGCCACTTACTGGCCGCGTGAGCTTAGGTAAGTCGTGGGATCTCAGGCTCGATTTCTTCTCCGGTCATTTGTTCCTCGTTTTCAGAATATATAAAGACCTTAGCATTGCACAGAATAGGTCCTCAACATATGGCATTCGTTATTGTTTCTACACATTTAATTCTTCTTTTGTAAGTAGCTATTTTTATGAAGTGGTGTGTATCTTCAGTGGCTAGAGAGACGTACAGACTGACTATTAACAGTCTGGTGAATAATCTAACAGCTCTCTGATGCCCGTGTTTCCCAAAGGTTTTTCTGGAAACTGGTTGCTTCACATTTTATTTATTTTTGCTTTATATTTTCTTTTCTTCATATTCATTTTAAATTCATTTATTTTGACAGAGAGAGGGAGGGGCGGAATCCCAAGCAGGCTCAGCAAGGCTCGGCGTGGCCTCGAACTCACGATCTGTGAGATCACGACCGGAGCCAAGATCAAGAGTCAGACTCTCAACCGACTGAGTCACCCAGGCGCCCCTTATTTTTGCTTTGTGTTTTAAAGGGTGTTAGGTGAGAAAAGGGTCCTGCGATGAGGTTACTTTGGAGAATGCTAGGTCAAGCAATGTTAAAACAATGCATTGAGAGTATTCATTATGTTAAAAAAACACTGAATTTTCAAAAGATAATTATAATACTTAGCATTTCATAGACCATGGCAGAACTCATGGGGATATAATGTTCTTTAGAATATACAAGGGCAACACTGCACGTGGTGCCAAAAAATATACGACTTTGTACAAATGAGATATTTACATGTGCTGTTTTCACTTCATGTGTATGTCATGGATGTCTTTCCGTGTCAGTAGAGTCACATCCTTTTTATTTTTTAATTTTTAAAGATTTTTTTTTATTAGAAAAATTTCTTTATTGTTTATTCCTTTTTTGAGAGAGAGACACACACAGAGCATGAGCGGGGGGCGGGCAGAGAGAGAGGGAGACACAGAATCTGAAGCAAGGCCCAGGCTCTGAGCTGTCAGCGCAGAGCCCGATGCGGGCCTCAAACTCACGAACTGAGATCATGACCTGAGCCAAAGTTGGATGCTTAACTGACTGAGCTACCAGGTGCCCCTATTTTTAAATTTTTAATATTTATTTTTATTTTAGAGTGCATGAGTCAGGGAAAGGGGTAGAGGGAGATAGAGAGCGAGAGAGAGAGAGAGAGAGCGAGCGAATCTTAAGCAGGCTCCATGCTCAGTGCGGAGCCCATGTGGGGGCTCAGTCCCACGACCCTGGGATCATGAGCTGAGCTAAAAATGAAGAGTCAGATACTCAGCCGACTGAGCCACCCAGGCGCCCCAGAGTCCCATCCTTTTTTTTTTTTTTTTTTATTAAAAAAAATTTTTTTTTCAACG